GTAGTCCAACAATGGCTGCACCACACTGGAGAGGCTGAGAATCTGTAGTCGCTCAGTCCACAAGGCTGGATGTTTCAGTAGTCCCAATCCGGTGCTGAAGGTCTGACAAATTCCAAAATATCAGCTAGTCTTCAGTATACAATAGCAAGACAAACTCACCAGCGAGAGAGAAGGCAAGCAGCAAGAAGCCTGGCATTCTCCTCTACCTTGGCTTTTTATACTGGCTGCCACCAGAAGGTAACGCCCACATTTAGGGTGTGTCTTCCGGCTTTAGATTTTCCAATCAAGAAAACCTCCTTCATGTCAGTTAGTCCCAGATCCAATCAAGTTGACACCCAGGATTAGCCATCACACATACAAAAAAAAAAAGCGACAAATTTTTAAAGATGTATTACATTTGCTGAGGAAGCATGGAAATTTACGTCATGCTAATTAGCAGAGGTGATACACATTACCATTGAAATCTACCTGATGACTTTATAGGCATATACAGGGGCCTAGGTTCCAAGTGCAACCGATTATGACTAGTCATAATCAGATTCTTACGGATTAGAGATGCACACGCTAACATCACAGTGTTAGTAGCCAAAACAATGAGTCATATGGGGTTTTTGGCTACTCTAACATTCTCCCGTCTGAAGAGGTAACCATAAAATGTTTTAAGGATTACATACAAGCTCCCAAATCCTTTTGACGTTTTTGGCCTTTGGAAAAGAGTATGTTGCTGAGAGGCCCAAGGACATCGAGCGTTTTAGCCAAGAAACTGGTTGCTTTCCGTTGGGGATTTTGCCCTAACTGCCTAGCCAATTCCTACCTCTGATTCTTATCACAACATCCTCTGAAGAGGTTGCCCAAATTGCCAATAGGGAATTGCCCTGGCTTCTTCGGTGCTGAACAGGGATGCAGCGTGAGGCAACTAGAGTACACCTTCAGTGGGTCTGTCTAAAAGACTCCAGAATTGCATAACTCTCATCTCTAATGGGAAAAGAAAGTCCTTGACTCATGACTAGGAACTGTGAAGGAGAAGAAAGGCAAGAGTAATTATAATTAGCATTACAAGTTCTAAACAGGGAACCAAAAAAAACGTTAGAACAGGGCGATTTTTAAATGTTCATGTGAGAATCCATTGGAATTTCTTGACAAGGCCTTCCAAGAGCATCCCTCTATTGGGTTCCTCTTCAGTTTTCTTTTGCCTTCTAATGCTGGACTCTAAAGTGATCGATTCAGGATTTTCCTTCAGGTATTTTGATAGGTGTTGGATTGGTTAGAATCAGTGTCAGTTCCCTCTCAAAGGCTTCTAGATAGGGGAGAAAACAAATTAATCCATCACCTTTGAACGATACCTGGCTGTCTCCCTTAACTACTGGTGGGCACTACAGTACTGGAGACCAAGATTTGAAGTCTTACATCCATCTGAGCAGCACTTTCTGGTTGGGAACCAAATCATCAATGAGAAATATCTGTCTAAATAACTTTTTACATAGTCGTAAACCTAGTGTCAAGGAAGTAGAATCCCTTCGACTCTTAAATATACTGATGACTTTACTCTTTGGTTATTCTTTCCTTTTGGGTATTGAAGACCATACAGTTGGCGGAAATAAATCAAGTGATTTATACACTTGAGGTCATGTGAAGATGTGGGTTCCTCAGGGGTCACATGGGCTCGTGAGGAACTCCGGGTCCTTTCTTTTAACAGTTCCATCTATGTGAAGAGGAGTCAAAGGTCCTGCTTGACCATGTCTGGCTTCTCTTGGAAGCATGAATGTTTCCTCTGAGTGGACCCTCCCCTTTGTGGCCTTGTCACAGGTTCAAGTCCATCTCATGGGGTCTTCATGGCCTCCCTGAACAAGAGGACAGGTGACTCTTCACGTTCCATAGGCCCCTGGAACTTAGTCGACCTTGGAGGGCAAGGGGCAATAACCGTCCTTTAAGTCCACTGACTGCATTAGTATAGGCCTCAAACTATGGCAGTTAAATATCCTATAAGGTTAGTTCCACCAGTCTGGTACTTTTAATCATCATGTGATATGTAGCTAGCGCTTGGGTAAAAAACCAAGTACTCTCAGATAAACCTTGACTAGATATATATTGTGTTCCATAAACTAGTTGATTAAACTATGACCATAGACATTTTAAGGTCATGTGTATATTATTTTTTTCTCATCCTCTATGTATCATAATAAACGCACACAGACCTTCATCGCTTGCTCAGGGTTTCTCATTTTTTATTACTTTGGAAAATATCTCCATTCCCATATCTTTCTAACATCTTTTACCTTCTTGTTTTCTTTTTTGAAAAACACATCACGACTTTTAGTCACGACCAGCTAGGACCCATAGATAGGGGTGGTTTTCTATTCAGAAACAGAGGATTGTGGGACCTGTGGAAGGGATCAGGGGAAGCAACCTGGAGGTTCCAAGCTCTGCCCTGGTGGTGTCCACATGACGTGAAAACTAAGAGCATGCAGCGTTAGTATTTTTGTTTGTTTCTCTCCCTTGTTACAATCTGAAGGTGGAAATAATTTCAAATAACAAAATGAATCAAAAACCAAAAAAGAATTATGAGGCATAATAGCATTAACAAATAAAATTTCCATCTGCTGTGAGGCTTCTTTTCCTGGGGATGCTAAGCAGTACTTATTCCCTTTCAAGATTCTAGTGTCAAGCCAACGTTTCATTAAAGTTGTCCTGGGGAACCAATGAATTTCTGGAGCTCTCTTACTGAGATAACCGCAGATACTTTGTGAGAAATCCCACTCAATTGATCTTCAATAAAGAGAAGGCTTATGCACTCGAGGATCCAAGCAACGACATATCTACAGAATTTACACATCAGAAGCAATTAAGACAATACTGTTTTTCAAGTAAGGACTGGGTTATAGGACAATGGCCTCAGAGTGACATAACTAAACTAGGAGAGGCTTGTGGAAGACAGCTGTGCCAGTGGGTGCCCCAAGCAGTAAGAAAACCAGATCGCCAACACCTGTCACAAAGACCATGTGGAAAAACTGTGCAGGGAAATGGTGATTGTGAACAAGAGCACTGCCGGGCTGGGAATGGCAGGCTTTAGGCTAATTCTCGACACATGGGGGGAACACTGCCATCCTCATTAGAAAAATTTACCTGATAGTAAGGAAATAATTACTTTCTGCTAATATAGCTTCCATTTCAGTGTTGCCAGCTCCTGTGAGTATTAATGGCTTAATTTCAGACAGAACAGAAATCTGTGTTTCTAACCATGTTCAGTTTAACTCCACCACAGAGGTCAGCCCTAACAGGAACCTGGGTCCAGTGTGACTAGAGTTGGTCTTCATTCACATTCACACAGGGAACCCAGGATCCCCCATTTGGCGGTCCTATTAAGGATGCTGGGCATTTCCCACCTTGACCACGACCACACAAAAGATCACTTGGACTCCTGCCCTTCCCAAGGCAAGCACAGTAAGGCCATCTCAGCAGCCCTTTCAGAAAACTATATAAACACAGGTGTCCACATCATCTTTTTCAACTTTACACTGAATACTGGGACAAACGGCAGGGCTCTCAAAGCTCCATCCATTGTCTCCAACAAGAAAGCTCCAGAGACCACACAAGCAGAGGGAAGGAACCCAACACACACATACACATCATTAAACACTTCCGTGGCAAAACAAAACACTTGGATCGGAGAGAAAAACATTTTTAAACCATCAAGTACAGAAAGTAAAAAATGCTTAATCAACCTTCATTAGGTTTCCCTCATTAGTTGCCTATGCAAATGGACTGACACTATTTACTCAAATATTCGCACCTTCATTTCACATGCAAGTGCCCTCAGGCAAACGATAAAGCAATACCACCAGATTTCAAACCAACAAGCATCATATAATATATACGGAGCACTGTTTGGAATATATCAGAATAAAATTATTATTCTAGAAATTGTCTATATCCTGAGGACTTCCAGAAAGAAAGCACTAGTGTCCAAGCTGTACTAACATTAAATGCTACCAACAACCACAGACAATTCAATATTAACCCTGTTTAAAAGTGAAAAGTACACTACTCATCAGGAATGATATGTGTTAATAATCCTGAGAGGAAAAAATGTAATATGTCTACAACTTCAAAGTATAACATTTCCCAGGGGAAATTAAAGAAAACGACTGGCTCACAGGACACGCTGGGGCTCAGTGAGGCATCCAGCTGTCCCCTCACCTCCTTCCTCCAGGCAGACAACAAGTTACAAATGCAACTCCAGGAGCATAGTGACAAGAAAGCACACAAAACGGGGGAGGCAGCCACTGCCATCCTTACCTTGGAGTTGACTTTCGTTCGCAGCTATCTTGGGCTGGACATTCTGCAGCTGTTCCGGGTTCACTTTCAAGGGCCGAGCTCTGTCCGCTGGTGACAAAGCGGTCCTCGTGGAGATGCAGAGTGTCGCACTCGCACACTCCGGGCACCCGGAGGCAGCGCCGGCGCGAGGGCCAGGAGGAGGGAGAAGCAGCCACTGGGTACCAAGACCACCCGGGGAGCGGGCACAACACTCTCGGGACAAGCAGCCACCGGGGACCTCGAGCAAAACCCGAGCCTCAGGCCAGCCCGGCAAACTCCGCCAGCGAGGGATGGCCGGGTGTCTCCATGGCCTCTCCACCCCCTGCGCGGCCACTTCCCCTACCGCAGCCGGGCAGACACTGGGCTCGCACACCGTTGCTGAGACCCGCACGGTGCTCGGGGACCGCGCTGGGCACCGGCCGCCACCTCCCTTCCTGCCTCCAGCCGCCGGTACTCGCTGGTCGGTCCCGCCGGGTCTGGGGATGCCCACGGGCAGGCCCAAGGACGGCAGGCCCCACGCGAGTGCCCTCCGGCCGCTCACGAGGGTGGCGGCCGCGACGCTCTGAAGCGCTGGCTTCGGCCCCCGCCCCCGCGGGCTTCAGGTCTCGGGAGCGCGCACCGCCTGCGTCCTCTGCCTCCAGGAAGCCGTGCGCGCACCTCTTTCTGGGTCCTGCTGCCCGCTGCCGCCCCCTGGAGGCCGCGGGACAAACGCACTCTCTCAAGTGCACCCAGAGACGTGGCCACCTGCAGATCTGCCAACCGCATACAAACACGCATCGAAAAGATCATCCACCATGATCAAGTCGGCTTTATCCCAGAGATGCAGGGATGGTTCGATATATGTAAGTCAAGAAACATCATAAATCACATAAATGGGCTCAAAGATATGAACCACATGGTCATCTCAATTGATCCAAAGGAGGCCTTTGACAAAATTGAACATGCATTTTTGCTCAAAGCACCAGAGAGAACTGGACTGGAGGGAACATACCTCAACATACTTAAAGCCATATATAACAAACCCACAGCCAACATCCTTCTAAATGGAGAAAAACATGAAGCATTCCCATTGAAATCAGAACCCGGACATGGGTGTCCACTATCTCCACTTCTCTCTAACATGGTGTTTGAAACTCTTGCAAGAACAGTAAGACAAGAGCTTGAAATTGAAGGAGAAATAATTGGAAAGCAAGAGATCCAATTATCCCTTTTTGCAGATGATAGGAGATTATAACTAAGAGATGCCAAAAATTCAACCAGAAAACTCATAGAAATTATTAACAAGTTCAGTAAAGTGGCAGGTTACAAAATTAACCTACAAAAGTCTGTAGCCTTTCTATATACCAATAA